GCGAAGCTGCTGTGCAAAGGGGCTATAGAAGAGGTACCGCCTTCTCTGAGCGATTCAGGCTTTTACAGCCGATATTTTCTCGTACCCAAGAAGGACGGAGCCTTCAGACCTATCCTAGATCTGAGACATTTGAACAAAGTGCTTGCGCAAAGACCGTTCAAAATGCTTACGACCAGGAAAATCCTCGCGCACGTTCGCCCGAGGGACTGGTTTATTTCTCTAGATCTGAAGGATGCCTATTTTCAGATTCAGATAATACCCCGTCACAGGCAATTTTTTGAGATTCGCCTTCGACGGTCAGGTATATCAATACACCGTCCTGCCGCTCGGCCTGTCTCTAGCACCCCGTACATTTATGAAGTGCATGGACGCGGCGCTTGCCCCCCTGAGAAGTCAGGGGCTGCGAATAATGAACTATCTGGACGGCTGATTTTGGCACAGTCAGAGACAGAGCTGCTATCTCACAGAACAGTGCTTCTCAGTCACCTGGAGAGCTTGGGTCTCACGGTCAACTGGACCAAGAGCTCATTACTGCCCAGCCAGTCAATTTCCTTTTTAGGAATAGAACTGGACTCGGTGACCATGACGGCTCGTTTATCGACACAGCGCGCGCGCCGTGTTCGCCACCTAGCCGCATCTTTCCAGAAGGGCAGCTTTCTCCCTTTGAAAACATTTAAAAGGATGTTGGGCTGTATGGCATCAGCTGCAGCGGTGCTTCAGCTGGGCCTACTGCGCATGCGCCCGCTCCAACGCTGGTTGAATGCTCGCGCGTCCCGCCGAGCTTGGGTTTCTGGCGGCCAGAAAATCAGAGTGACTCAGACCTGCATAGCGGCTCTGCAGCCCTGGTTAGTGGCCCACTGGTACCAGCAGGGAGTGATGATGGGAACCATCTCTTATCGAAAAGTCATTTCGACAGACGCATCCAACTCGGGTTGGGGCGCGCTGTTCGAGGGCAGACCGGTCTACGGCCAGTGGTCAGACCAAGAGAAGGGTTTTCACATAAAATGTCTGGAAATGATAGCGGTCGAGAACGCGCTGAAGCGCTTCCTCCCGTTCATACAGGACCAACATGTTCTTGTCCGCTCGGACAACATGTCTGTGGTATCCTATGTAAACCGTCAGGGCGGTATCAGATCCAGAAATCTCTGCAATCTGACGGAACGCCCTCTCATTTGGTCTCAGATGCACCTGCGCTCGCTGAGGGCGGCGCATGTGCCTGGCTATTTGAACGATGGCCCAGACAAACTGTCCAGGGACAATGTTCCCCCAGGGGAATGGTCCCTGCACCCCCAAACGGTCCAGAAACTGTGGCGCCTATTCGGCAGAGCGGAAGTCGACCTATTTGCGTCAAAAGACAACGCTCAATGCCCGACGTTCTTCTCGAAGGACGAGGACGCGCTGGCCCAGGTTTGGCCCAGCCTCCCGCTATACGCTTTCCCTCCGGTCTCTCTGTTACCACAGGTGATCAAGAGAATCAGGGAAACGCCCCACTCGGTGCTCCTCATAGCCCCGCGTTGGGAGAATCAGACTTGGTTCCCGCCCGAAACTAGCACGGCTGTCACACACAGCTCCGTGGCCTATTCCGGTGAGGACAGATCTCCTCTCTCAGGCTCGCGGCACGATCTGGCATCCCCATCCAGAGCGCTGGTCTCTGCACGCATGGTTGATCAACGGGTACTCATTGCCCTGCCAGAAGGAGTGATGAACACGATCACGCAGTCTAGGGCTCCTTCCACGAGAAGGCTCTACGCGTCTAAATGGTCGGTGTTCTCCGGATGGTGCACCGACAGAGGTCTGGACCCACAGACATGCGGGGTGGTGCATCTGCTCACTTTCCTACAAGAGCTGTTGGATAAGGGGAGGTCCGCATCCACGCTCAAAGTATACGTGGCGGCCGTGGCAGCGTTCGCAGAATCGACGCACGGCCAGTCACTGGGAAGACATGAGTTGGTCATCTGCTTCCTTAGAGGAGCTAGAAGGATGAACCCGCCGCGCCCCCCGTCGCTTCCTATGTGGGATCTTTCTTTGGTCCTCGAGGCCCTGAAAGCCTTTCCATTTGAACCACTAGACTCCGTGGGGTTGAAATATCTATCACTGAAAACCGTCTTTCTGACTGCACTGTCGTCAGTAAAACATGTGGGGGACCTGCACGCGCTGTCTGTCAGCGCGTCGTGTCTTGAGTTCGGGCCGAATGACTCTAAAGTCATCCTCAGACCTAGACATTGCTATGTTCCTAAAGTGATGGGCACTCCATTCAGAGCGCAAGTTATTTCGCTGTCAGCTCTGCCAGCATCCGACAGCGAAAGTGATGTGAATCTACTCTGCCCTGTCGGGGCGCTGAGATTTTACATTACGCGCTCCGCCTCCTTCAGGCGTTCAGAACAGCTTTTTGTTTCGTTTGGTGGGCGCACCAAGGGTCTCGCCTCCTCGAAACAGAGCCTGTCCAGATGGATAGTGGACGCTATAGCAACTGCTTACGCGTCAAAAGGTCTGCAATGCCCTCTGGGCATCAGGGCTCATTCCACGAGAGGCGTGGCCTCGTCGTGGGCGTGGTCCAGTGGGATTTCTATCCATGACATATGTGTATTGGCGGGCTGGAGCTCCCCGTCTACCTTTGTCAGGTTTTATAACCTAGAAGTTCCTGCCTTGCAGGCTAAGCTTTTGTCAGTTTGAAGGAGATGTGTATTCTGCCCAGATATCCCTGCTCAGATCACTCTCACGTGACTCAGCTCTCCTGGTTGAGCTGCACTAGTAGGGTATGTGCCATGTGCCTATACAGACCGGCGCGCTGCTCTGTATTCCCTATGTGTGCTTATGTACGAGTGGTGGCCCGCGTGGCTGGCCACCTTATTTTTTCCACTTATGGGGTTCCCCTGAAAGTTCAGGGTCTCATGGTGGATGCTTGGCGCGCACGGCATTGACAAAGTGTTCCCTTAGCGTAAGCTAAACTTACAAAATACGAGAGAACCTCTCGTAAGAGAACGATACTCGGTTACTAACGTAACCTCGGTTCTCTCTAGAGAGGGAACGAGTATTGCGTAACCGGCCGTGCTCGCGCCACGAGCGATTTTGCTTCAGTCGACGAAAAACCAGGGAAGTCAGCCTACAGCCCCTACTTTTATACGCTAAGCCACGCCCATTCTGGCGGGCTGTGACGCTATGAAGGCGCGGGCGCCCTTCATTGGGCGTGACGTCATGCCGGGCTCACTGGTAGGCTGCAGCAGTTGCCCGCAGGGCAGCTAATGAGCACGCGAGATGGCCTGCTCTAGGTCTGCTAGCTGCTGCACTGCGTTGACAATGAATACAAAATTAAGGATAATTTTTTGGCTTCAATATCTCGAGAAGATGAATCTTTCCCGTAGCGTAAGCTAAACTTACGCAATACTCGTTCCCTCTCTAGAGAGAACCGAGGTTACGTTAGTAACCGAGTATCGATTTCTGCAATAGTATTTATTATTTACATTAGGATATTTTACATTCATTTTATGGTTTTTGTATGGCAGCCATTGCTGACAGTCATTTGACCTTTTTTTTCACAGTGAAGGTGTTTGATCAAAATAATTCAGGAAATAACTGTAAAATAACAGCGTTTTTCTGTAAAACATTTAAGGACAAAGTTTGGAAAAGTTTTTTGCACTCAATTTAAATTAGGATATTTTACTTTATTTTTACGGTTTTTGTTTGGCAGCCGTAGCTGCCAGTCATTTGACCCTTTTTTTACGATTTAATTTTTTACAGTGCATAAGACTGACATGACACCTTCATAATCATGACAGGAGACATCTCATGAATATGAAGGAGGGTTTATGCATGTTTATGACAACTGTCATTACGTGTCATTTGCTCAATGACATTTTTAATCCAAATATGACATTGTTTGAGATGTCTTTGTTATGACACCTTGAAATAAACCAATACATCATAACCTGTCATAAATATGTCATAACCATCACATAGCAGAATAATTATCAAACTTAAGAAACCACTTAGTTAATGGGTTAACATTACATTAAACTGTCATGTGGTTGGTTTTGACATTGGCTGTCATGAGGCCATTATAACTGTGTCATGAATATTTTTCTTGACCTCAACTACAGTGGTACAAATTGAATTTGTCATTAGAATGTTATAATGTTAAAAACAACCACCTGACAGTTTTATGTAATATTAACCCATAAAGCTAAGTGGCTTCTTTAGTTTGATAATTAACCTGCCATGTCATGTTTATGACATATTTATGACAGGTTGTGTTATCTTAGTAATGTCAAGCTGTCATGGCCAAGACAATGACAGGTTATGATGTATTGGTTTATGTCAAGTTGTCATGAAAAAGACATCTCAAACAATGTCATATTTGCATTAAAAATGTCATAATTGAGCGAATGACACTTAATGACAGTTGTCATAAACATGCATAAACCCTCCTTCATATTCATGACATGTGTCCTCAGTCATGATTATGAAGGTGTCATGTCAGTCTTATGCACACCCCTTCAAGTAAAGTGTTACCCTATTTTAGTAAATGTATATTGATGAAGTGCTGACAAAAAAAAAAAAAAAAAATGTCAGAAGATGAAAGCATAAAACTATTATTTTCCAGCAGTTTCTCAGAAGCTTACATGCCAGAAGATGGCTTAATATGTATCTATATTTCAATAACGTTCAGAAGTGTACTTCTGAAAATATAAATTACATTAAATCATTTGACTTTTTAGAGTACAAATATCAAACAGTACAAAACACACACACACACACACACACACACACACACACGCACGCACGCACGCACACACAGAGAGAGAGAGAGAGAGAGAGAGAGAGAGAGAGAGAGAGAGAGAGAGAGAGAGAGAGAGAGAGAGAGATATGCAATGTCACTACCTATGTGATATTACGAAACAATTGACGTTTTGTAGGTGCAAGGTCAAAACAACAAGATATTACTCAGGCAAAAAAATTTGCAAATAATCTGTGTTTATAGCCTACATGAGTTTTGATCTTACCATTGAAGAAGAAGGTCGTGTATAATACTTTGCGATTTCGTCGATCTTCTGAAAGACGGTAAATGCCCCAGCAGAAAACTGTCCGAATATCAGTTTTCATGTTAATTTATCTCAGCTTTGATCATATACCGACAAATACTGACTTACTGCAATACCGTTTATAGTTGTACAAAACATATATGAACACATTCATAAAGTTTCTTACTTGTCTCTTGGAGGTCCAGGTATGTGATCATATTTCTGATGAACATGTCTTACATACAGACAATATGCAAGAAATGCACTGAAAACAGCAGCGAGCAGGTAAAACATAATAAATGAGACCCATTCTGAGATCATGATGGTTCAGACAGTAGCTCAGTGTGTAATGTGCGTCTGCCAGCCTTACTGCTGCTGTCAAATATCAAACGATTTCCGGGTCTCTGGAACTTGTTCTGAACGATTGTAGACCACAGAGGGCAGTACTAGCCTTCTTACATTCCTACATTCCAGAGGAAAAACAATGTCTGTCCAGCTTCTTACACACACAAGCGCGCGCGCACACGCACGCACGCACACACACACACACGCACACACACACACACACGCACGCACGCACACACACACACACACACACACACACACACACACACACACACACACACACACTTAAGGCCAAAAAGATGAAGTTCTGATGCTGGAAATGTAAATCAATGAGATAAGTAGCCTATGATAGGCTATGTAAGATGAAAATGCATAGTTTTATGATCAGACTCAGAGCTCTTTATTGTGGGGGACAAAACAGATAATGTAAACATTCCTCAAAAAGCTCAAAGTGATATGTTATGTTTGATACTTGACTTGACTAAAAAATAACACATGGATACGTATGGCTCAAGGTTCAGTCCAGTAAGTGTTCATCTTGAAATACTAAAAAGCTATATTATAAAATGTACCACAACCTGAAGGCATAAGGCTTTGTACCTGTTAAAAATGATAAACTATCAATCCGACGTCAGAAGGCTTCTGATAGATTGCGTAGCTAACAGCTTCAGAAATGTTTTGATCATGTTGATAATTTAGAGACCTTAATTTGTGTATCAAATAAGACAGTATGGCTTTATCAAAACCTATCAAGACCTAGCTAAGGTATGAGCTAGGTGTTTAAAATTAGATTTCAAAACCACTGCTCAAGAAAACATTTGTGTAATGAGATTTTTGACCTAAAGCCTAATCATGAGTCATTTAAATAAAATTGTACGTCTTCAGCAGCAATTATCAGAATCAAAAGGCTATAATGTATACTGGGTATGAAATGAAAGCTCTAATGAACTGGTTTTAAATTTTTGGCTCAATTGACCCTACACCACAGATGCCCTCCAATGAGTTGAACACGGAAAGGATCACCACAGTTCTCAGTCTTCAAACAACCAGTAAATTGAAAAAAAGCGGTTGAATGCTATAATGGGGTTTATAGCATGTGTGGCTTGTATCGCTTCCATCTGTGGTCTCGGTGGGTGGCAGACTGCACAGGAGTACTGAAGGCGCTCCACGGACACACAGACAGAGTGTGTTTTAGATCCCTGTGGCCCTGTGAGAGCAAACAGCACTGCAGACATCAGTCCTGGCAGGAGAGAGCCCGCACTTCTGATGTGCAGCCATTTGTTACTTTGTCATTGTGTTGCTTTATGCCAGCATTCACAATGGTAATGGTAAAATACTGTTGGATTTTGAGAGTGGCCTTTCGAAAAATGGACATTTATGTACATTATTTTATGTTTTCATCCTGAAACTTTTACAAACCTTTTCCTACAGACGACATTTTAAGTTGTTGTAATGTTGTAGCAGACCTCCGGTATAATATCTTATGGTGGTGACCCATTTGCAAATGATTGCATAAGTCAATGGATTTCTAAGATCTGTATAGAAGAACAAGATCCTTGAGATTTCTCTGCAGTCTTAATCCTACGGATTTTTGTTACCTTGCTCTTTGACCCCCTAATCCCGGCCTAAGAACATACTGACAGACATGACAACATGCAAAACAGCATCTATCTATCTATCTCTATCTATCTATCTATCTATCTATCTATCTATCTATCTATCTATCTATCTATCTATCTATCTATCTATCTATCTATCTATCTATCTATCTATCTATCTATGATCCAGGGCTGGGCGAAAATAGTGTAGTACATTACTTTTAAACCTAACTTTCCCCCACACTTGTGTTACTCCCTAAATAGGTAACTATTTGCGTTGCTTAGTTACTTTTTATGGAAAGTAATACATTATGTTACTTTTGCATTACTTTTTCTCAGCTGGGCTGGGCTTGCTTGTTTATTTTTCCAGTTTTTCTCAGTCGCTTTGTTGCCATCAGAATGACAAGTCCTTGTGTCATTGTGTACGGATAACACTGGATGCGACGACACGGTTGATTATTTACATCTTCTGCATATGTATTTATGTTGTCAAATTCAAATTACAATTTTACATTGTGTTTGCTACGGTGGCCGAGAGAGCTCAACGCGCTGCAACTGAAGAAAACACATGCAAATACAAAAAAACACATGCAAATACAAAAAAACACATGCAAATAAAATAAAACGCATGCAAATAGAAAAAAACGCGTGCAAATAAAAAAAAACACCCGCAAATTAAGAAAACATCTTCATCAGTTTCACAACACACGTGTGCTCCAAATACTCACAACACCACCAAATACAAACGTGCTGCAAAAGCTCACAACACAAATACAGAAAACGCGCTGCAAATAACACAGAGCACAACGGAAATGTTTCCAGAGGAACCAAATAAGTGACGAACCCGGCTGGGACGTGCTGGAATAGATATCCATAAATCTATGCGTCCATACATATAGTTTTATGTCTATATGTATGGACACTCTTGAAAATGAGATGTTGCATCTCAAGGGGCTATCCATTAATAAAATTGAAATTGAAATTAATTTCCTTATTATTTTCACCTGGGATGTTCCCATGACAACGCAGCACAGCGTCCATCAGCTGAAGAGCTGTTCTTACCACAGAAATATAATGCTGTCAACATAACGGATGCAAATACATTTTTATTTTTAGTTTACAAAAAAGCTTTTAAAATATGCGTTATATCTGTGTGTCTCAACTTTAAAATTTTGGACCCTACATTACCTAACATTTCTTACGAAACTTTTCTTTATGAAAATGTAATAACATGAAACAATTTGTACAGTGTAACTGATGTATAGATAAATATCTTTCCTTCATGATTTTCTTCTTTATCTTTTTTATTTATTTATTTTAGTTTCCAGCTCATTCTTTTCTCATTTGTATTCTGATGACATTGAACACATTGTTAATACATTTTGTACATTGTATACAAGTTGTATGTCATAAAAAAAATGTAATCTCTGTATGTTTTGCAAAAATAAATAAATAAAGTATAATTTTAAGCTGTAAGCACCAGCACGCATAGATTTATGGATATCTATGCCACTGCCAGCACGCACGTCCCAGCCGGGTTCGTCACTTATTTGGTTCCTCTGGAAACATTTCCGTTGTGCTCTGTGTTATTTGCAGCGCGTTTTCTGTATTTGTGTTGTGAGCTTTTGCAGCGCGTTTGTATTTGGTGGTGTTGTGAGTATTTGGAGCACACGTGTGTTGTGAAACTGATGAAGATGTTTTCTTAATTTGCGGGTGTTTTTTTTATTTGCACGCGTTTTTTTCTATTTGCATGCGTTTTATTTTATTTGCATGTGTTTTTTTGTATTTGCATGTGTTTTCTTCAGTTGCAGCGCGTTGAGCTCTCTCGGCCACCGTAGTTTGCCACTCCAATTTAAATCCAATTCAAATTCAGTAATTCTCAGTTCAACTCTGAATGGCACACAACCCCGCTCATCACTCAAATAACAACTAGGATCTTCTAACTGAAAACAGATTTTGGGGGGGGGGGGGGGGGGGGAGCAGATAGCCCCGGGGAGATGAGTTTCCATTTGCTCGATGTGTCTAGTTAAAAGCAAATGGAAAAATAGAGTAATCAAAAACATGAGCCCCGAGTCTCTAACTGATCTATTGTTGATGGTTCTTCAGATAAATGGATGACAGGTATTTGTTTGGTAGTGCCAAAAAGTTCTCCACAGAGTGTTAGTGCTTCGCATAAGTTAGTCCAGATGTGAAGATTCATTCATAATCCAAACCTAAATGAACACTGACGTCTGCATTTTATTCAAAGAAACAAGCAAGAGTTTTTTCCAAACTCATCTTTGTATTTTTTTTAATAGAATTTGCAACTTGCAAGTACACATAATAATGAACAGCGAACATCGACTCGTTTCAAAGAGGTGTTTGAGAACATGATTTCCCTTTATAGGTCAGTCTGTCTTGGAAGATTCTGGGTAGTGTACCACCTGAATGAATGATCAGTTCAAAGCGTCAGCAAACGTGCGATAAAAATACAATAAATACTGTACAACACATGCCAACACAGAAATAGGCTATTCTTGCCATCAATGACCAGGAAGAAATCTCTTCACAACAGCAACACCAGAAACACGGATAACATCACGCAAATATACATTTCAATAAATGTTAAATAAAGTGCCAGCCGTAGCATGTGCATATTCAGTCTGCATACTCTTAAGAATAATATTTCAGGAAGTATTAAGTAGTTCCCCTGCAATAGTTTCCAAAAACAACAGCAACACGGTACATAAGCATCATATTAAGTATCACATTATAATATTCTCTTTACATTTGCCGGCTCATTCCCTTTTCTGAAATTCTGACACTATTGAAGAACTAAATGAACACTGATTGTTATGGAAAGACTTCCCCTGAGTTGGCAGTTAAATTGTGCCCATTCACCCATAAGTCTAGAGCAGAGGTTCTTAGCCCATTTTGCTTCAGGACCCAGATTTTACATTGGATGGCACTTATATCGACGTAAAAACAGTGGGGTCCAAAGGTCTGAGACCACACTGAATATGTGGGGTTCAAAATCTATTAGGATTAAATGTTCATGTTAAAACAAATCATAATTTTACATATGAATTAAGATGAATAATATAATTCTATACTATTTCTAGGGTAACCAAATAACCAAATGACATTGACTGAAGCACAAGGGATGCTCTTTGGAACGTTCTCAAATCATGCTGGATCACATGATCATCAGGTTTTGCACAAATGTGGATCTCATGAGTTCTGCTGTCGTTCAAACAAAAGGAATACTAATAAATTCTGAAATTCATGTTATTTTTCTGATCATATAATTCGTAATAAAGCTGTATTCAATTATAAAAAAACCTTCAAAATAAAACCTTTTTTACTAGCATTGTCAGACGTTTGCACCCCACTGTATGTGATTGCAGCAGCAGCAACAACTGTTGTACAACAAACATGCTGTATTAATCCTTCCATTCATTTTCCACAATATTCCAAACATCAGAAAAGCTAGAGGCTTTGCGAACACAGTTACGGCAATGCGTTCCACAACACAAGACTGGCTCTATACTGCACACTTAATGCGGCTGGCCGGGGTTTTTATTCATTTGTTTATTTTAATAGGGTTAAGCACCACAGCAGGACGGTGAGTCAGAGGACGGATAGTAATTTGGTGATTTAATATTCTCTGGCCTCCTCCAATTCATTCATGAAAATATCCTGTTGGGGGTTCTCCGTGCAATGCAGGCCATTATTGGGTGGGCGGACTGCATGAAACCTGCTCCAGTCTCCTTTGCACAGTATCCAAGGCATTACATCCACCTTGAAATGCAGCTCTGGAGAGAACTCGGTGCTTATTAGGTTGGGGGTTCCTGCCCCCTTGCCCCTTGTAATTAGATGCTTGTTATCATCATAGCAACAATGCTGGGCAGCCAGAGTGGTGCCATCTTTAGACAGGCTGGAACGCAGGCAGGACTGTGCCGAGGGCTTGTAGATGTCCAATCGTTCCTGTGGGCCGCTAGCATCCCTCCACTGGAAGGTTCGGTCGTGCTCTGCATCCAGCAGACTGACGATATTGTTGGAGGCTTCTGAAGGATAGGTGCACGGGCAGCTGGGTAATTCAGTCAATACCTGCTGCAGGTAACGCTGAAGAAACTCACTCTTGCAATTTAACCACTTCTCACAGCTGTCAACATCTGCAAAGCAACCAAACCCAAAAAGATGACACGTTAGTCAAATCAACTATAGCATAGTGCCATTTGTCTAACAGTAGGTTGTCAGCTATGGGCATGAACGATGAACCATTATTTAAAGGTGCTCTAAGCGATGTCACGCATTTTTTAGGCCAAAACATTTTTTGTCACATACAGCAAACATCTCCTCACTAACCGCTGGCTGCCTGTCCCCTGAACACACTGTAAAGAAACGCGATCTCTGTAGACAGCCCAGGCTCCACAAACGGCAACAAAAACAAACTGGGCTAACCCGCTCCACGAAACATGACAAACAGTTCCAGCCAATCACCGACAAGAAGGACTTGGGGGCGGGGTTTGGGGGGTTAGTGCGCGGATGAGGAGGGGGGAGGGTCTAGCTAGCCTCCGTTTTGTTTGATAATACTTTAAACATCAACAAGAAGTGACGTCACCCGACATCGCTTAGAGAACCTTTAATGTGATGCTATAGTTTTTTTTTTAATTCTCGGTTATATAATGTACAATTTTTGATGTTATATAATGTACAACTTTTGATGTAATTTTTGTATATGATGATGTGGAGTCAATGATGTGTTCAGTCATTGAGTGTGATTGGTAATTGATGGATCTTCGCTGTGATTGGTCAAGATTATATTTTAAATGTGATTGAGCTTGAACACTAACAGTATGTTGTATATGCCTGATGAAGGTATATAGGTATAAACTTAAAGCATTTACCAGTGCCAAAGGGTTCTGTGCCATTCTCCATCTCGAATGGAAAGACATGAGCCACACTGTTCCAATCATCTGGGGAAAAAAATCAGCATTAACATTAAATTACATAAAAATAAGAACAGACACATTTTTGAGTACTGAAATAACCTGGGCATGGGACAAGGTCACAGCTCCGGGACTCAGTGGATGTGCAGAAATCTCCACATGAACGTGAGCGAGTCTGATTGCCATGGCCACAAGTGACACTACAGGGACTCCATGCGCTCCACTCTTCCTCTGCTTCTTCTAAGAGGAAAAGACTGATGAGTTTAAACATTTATGTGTGGTAACTAAGACAAGCATTCCTATTGCTCATATAGGTTCCGAACAAAACCCCTAACCTTAAGTACTGTTCAGTGATCCGATCATAACAATTACCATTAATATTTCCACCTGGCATTAACATGCATTTTCGATGCATTGCCTGTGCCCACTTGTGTTGTCAAGACACGGTGTCTTATTTAACACCGTGGCTAGACTAACAAATAAACAGACATCACCAGAGAAAAAAAAACCGTTACAGTTTAGTAGTAATGATTTTATGAATTATTTCAATGAGAAAATAGAAAGCATTCGAAACACAATTATAAATGTACAATCCTCTATGGTCTCTTATGATTCAGCCTCAATTATCGTCCCTCAAGAACAACTACACCGCTTTGCAACGATAGGACAGGAAGAGCTAAATAAACTTATTATTGCATCTAAACCAACAACATGCTCATTAGATCCAATACCCACTAAACTACTGAAAGAAGTGTTACCTGTAGTGGAAGAGCCTCTTCTCAATATTATTAACTCGTCTTTATTCTTAGGTCATGTTCCAAGAATATTCAAGTTGGCAGTAATAAAACCTCTCATTAAGAAACCGCAACTAGATCCAAATAACCTAGCAAATTACAGACCCATTTCAAATCTTCCATTTATGTCCAAAATACTAGAAAAAGTTGTATCCGCTCAACTGTGCTCTTTTTTGCAAGAAAATGATATCTATGAAAAATTCCAGTCAGGATTCAGACCGCATCATAGTACAGAAACTGCGCTAGTTAAAATTACAAATGATCTACTCTTAGCTTCGGATCAAGGCTGTATCTCAATACTAGTCCTACTTGATCTTAGCGCCGCGTTCGACACTATAGATCATAAAATACTCTTGGATCGACTACAAAACTACACTGGTGTTCAGGGACAGGCATTAAGCTGGTTTAGATCGTACTTATCTGACCGTTATCATTTTGTCTCTTTACACGGGGGAAAATCAAAGTTGACGTCAGTAGACTACGGAGTACCGCAAGGATCGGTGCTAGGCCCTCTGCTATTCTCAATATATATGCTGCCACTTGGTAATATTATAAGAAAACATGGAATTAATTTCCACTGTTATGCTGACGACACTCAATTATATATTTCATCACGACCAGATGAAAACATTACCTCATCTAAATTGACAGAATGTCTCAAAGATATAAAATGCTGGATGACGCGAAATTTCCTGCTATTAAATTCAGATAAAACGGAGGTATTACTTATTGGTCCAAAAAACTACACACAAAACCTCTTACAATACGACTTTAATATAGAAGGATGCCCTGTTACTTTTTCCACTACAGTAAAAGACCTGGGTGTTATACTAGACCGCAACTTGTCTTTCGAAAATCATATTTCATCTGTTACAAGAACAGCCTTTTTCCACCTTAGAAACATTGCTAAATTACGTAACATGCTATCTGTTTCTGATGCAGAAAAGTTAGTTCATGCATTCATGACCTCGAGACTAGATTACTGTAATGCTTTATTAGCTGGTTGTCCTGCATCCTCAATAAACAAGCTACAGTTAGTGCAAAATGCAGCCGCTAGAGTTCTTACTAGATCAAGAAAATATGATCATATAACACCGATTCTATCATCTCTGCACTGGTTACCTATTAAGTTCCGTATCAATTACAAAGTACTACTACTGACCTATAAAGCCCTTAATGGTTTAGCTCCTATGTACTTAACGGACCTTCTTTCGCCCTACAATCCACCGCGTTCTCTAAGATCACTAAATTCAAGGCTTCTGGTCATTCCTAGGATATCGAAGTCCACGAAAGGAGGGAGGGCATTCTCGCATTTAGCTCCAAAACTCTGGAATAGCCTTCCCGATACGGTCCGATGCTCTGACTCGCTGACACAGTTTAAAACTAGACTAAAGACGTGTCTCTTTAGTCAAGCATTCACATAATGCTTACCTTTTAGTCCTCTGCTATGCCATACGGAACCGTTTGCCACTGAAACTGCTTAACGCACCAGTGGGGCTCGACAGCCTTATAGACAAACGGGTCGGTCTGTATGGTTGCGGTTGGGTTGCGGAGAGTTTGGGTTGCGGAGAGTTGTGAGATTATGGTTTTCTAACACCTACTCCCGTGTAATGGAAATCATTATGAACATCAGCTATGCTAATTTTTTTCCCATCTGCCTTTCTGCTGTTATCTCGGGACGCTTGTCCCGAGAAAAATGGCGTTCGTAGGCTCCAGTTTGGTATCCTGCCTCTCACGGGGATTTCGGATGCCTCAACGCCTGTGATGAGAAGACCAACGCCTGTGAAGAGACGACTCAACGCCTGCGAAGAGACGACTCAACGCCGGCGATATGTTATCCCCTAAATATTACATGATTAACTAAATGTATTTTTTCCAGGTACTTTCTGATATGCACTTACTGTAAAGCTATGATTGTTAGCCAGAGGAGAACTGGCCCCTGACTAGCCTGGGTTCTCCCAAGGTTTTTTTCTCCATCCAATCTGATGGAGTTTTGGTTCCTTGCCACTGTCGCCTTGCTTTTGGCTTGCTTAGTTGGGGATATTTAATATTCAACAATATTATTGAACTGTGTTGTACTACTTTCATGTTATCACTGTGAAGCTGCTTTGATGCAATCTGTATTGTGAAAAGCGCTATATAAATAAATGTGACTTGACTTGACTTGACAACCCTGCTTATTTAGGTTCTGACTATCCATATGGGGCTTCAGTGATCCGATCAACAAAAAACTGATGCTAATGCAATGTGTAAATGTAGTCAAATAGATCACTTAGCAGTTAGAAGTGGCCTAGCAATCACTCCAGTAATGTCTTATCAATAATCCCAGCAAATGCATAGCAACACACTAATTGAATTAAAAGTAATGTTAAATTCAATTCAATTCACATTTATTTGTATAGTGGTTTTTACAATAAATATAATTTCAAAGCAGCTTTACAGAAAATGAATGTGTCTACATTACAATTTAGAGTAAATTAATATCAGACTGTGTCCAAGTAAGTCATATATGTCAGAAATGTTCAGTTCTACGATAATACAAAACAACCACTCGCTACTTAGAGATACCACCCCAAGAAGAACACCTTAGCACAAGAGCACCCTGGAAAACACCAACAACAACACTCGAACACCATGATGGCAACTTTTCCACGGACAAACACCGGTAAGCTGAGTAAGTAAGCCTAATATACTGTAGCCCCCAAAACAGGAAAACAGGCCTCAAATAGTTGATTAGCTTTTAGCTTTGGGAGAGATCTCAAAACTCTCTTTACCAAAAGCAGACTGCAGATAATGAATTAAACAAGGACAACAGATGTATTCTTCCTTCTTCTGTAATACAGAGTATAGATTAGAGACTAGCTTGTTTAAATATTTAACTTGAATTTGGGTGGGGTGCCAATGATATTGCACACACAGTGATGGCACCCTGATTACAGACAGACTAGGGAATGATGAAAAGGAGGCGTAGGCTCAGCGACTATTCTAGCTGGCTTTGTAGAAGTGCCAAACTGCGAAACCCACAACAGCCATAGGGTTAGTCTTATATCAGAGGTTAATCAAAGCAGAAACAGCCACTAAATCCAGAGGGTCAAGATTCGGATGGTTAGCATTAGCAGTTACCCCTGCTGGAGTCAAGAACATTTTGAACAGGCTATTATATCGACTCTGTTTAGGACCCCAAAGTGATTCCTTTGGCAGAAAGAACTTTTAAAGGGTCCTCTATTCAGTTCTTGAGTGGACAAATATTTTTTTTTCCATGTTCTTCTAGCTTAGTTGTAGCAGCTAAGCAACCTCTAACAGATAGCTTTCTCCTGTTATATTAGACTAGAAATGTTCCTTCTTATCCGTTAATATCATTTCTGCCCCATCACACTGATCTAAATGTTTTATGAGAATCTGGTCTAGATTGAGGCCATCCTTAATCTCAATCATAATGTCTTTCCTTGACCCCTCAAATTAAATCCCTGTCCCATTTCATCCTTGTCTCCAATGAAACAAGACTCCACAGCTACAGCGTAAAGTGCACAATTCCCACCATGAAACAGACATGTCCTAGAGAGAAAAACAAAAAAGCAACAGAGGCGTTATGTTCTGCATGGCCTTGAAAAGCCTAGGATTCTTGAACAGGCTTAAAAGACCCAGCCGCTCTGGACTGGACGGGGGTGGAGGGGGTGCAGGGTCTGGGGCCCAACCCGCGGGACATAAAAAGTAAACGGATGACCCCTCTCACTCTGTGTTCCCGATCTGCGCTCTAATTGAACACAAGCATGGGCTTATTTGTCCAAGAGAACGTATTCACGCTGCCATTAGTGAGCGGATCGGGCTCGTCTTCAAACAGCGGTCTTCTCCACAGAGTGGGACCAGTGTCTACTTCAAAGGTCCGACACTCACAAATAGCCCGTCGCTGGCTGAAAGTTTAGTCCGAATTAATGCTGTGAAACACTCCTTACCAGCTTGCTCTACCCTCCCTCCCCAATCTCTACATCTCTCTTTCCCTTCAACTACTCTTCAAATCACCTTTGTCTGACTGCTGGCAATCCAGCTTTCTTAAATTCTCCCATCCTCAGTATTTATCTGCTTAAAGTTCTGATTGTGCAAATTCTGGCCTTGCTTAAAAACAGCTGTTTTTTCTCCATTCCCGTTTTACTCAAATACTCTTTTCACAAGTTCGTTTGCCCATATAATCTTTAAGCTATTAATAAACATATTTGGCTTGCTGTCCGCAGTAGAGGGGCTCGAGGAAGCAGTTTAAACTCAAGCTTAGATATAGTCTGGTTGCAAGATGTCTAAATTATGTTGGTGGAGTTTGTGGAGGTGGAAGGACGCCAAAGCAGTTGATTAATTGAAAGATTAGATGGGTTAACTCCTCCTGAAATTACATTTAGGATCTTCACTTAGTTCAAACAGACTAACTTCTAAAGGCTCAAGAACTGTGTGTAGAAACAGCTAATGTATAAGAGAACACTCACCATAATGGCTTTGAGTCCATGGGCTTTCCCAATTGCCATCTGTCTTGCCCAGACCACTAGGGAGGGGCTCCCCGCTGTCATACTCCAGTGCGTAGTCGTCCTCTTCCTCCACTGCTTGGCCAGTACCATCGTCCCCTGAATCTGCATCCGTGTAGCCCCAAAATAAAGGCCAGAAAAGCTTCTTTCCACCTAGCCATTCTACAGTAGAGGAGGGAGAAGATGTGGGCCAGTCATTGCTCCATTCTTTATCCCTCTCCACTTCCATAGGGGGGTCATCCAACACCTCGATGGTCACCTGCAACCAAAGGTGCAAAGTATGCAGAGATTCAAAGCATTGAATCAAAATTTGATTGAAAATTGGGCGTTATTTTAAGAACTTAAAACAAATCATTCTGCATGAGGAACACCTTGCTTCTAGTCTGGAGAACAGTCAGTGGCAGTTAGTTTCAGCAGTGACTCACCGATCGAGTCTCTTGATTTGAGCTCAGGCTCAATATCAAATCAAGCAGAATTACTTCCTCCTCATCTCAAGATGAGATTACTTATTACACTTAATTACATCCTATGAGGAGTGATGACTCACTATGGATGCTGACGAATCCACATTGGATTAGACAGGATTAGACATTAGCCTCAGAGAGGAGAAACCCTGTAATGGATTATTATATCCGGCCCTGCATTTTTGACTTGCCCTGCTTAGTCACCAAAAGTTTTGGAAGAGGGACTCACTAACATGAAGCATTTCACAGAGATGACTACTAACTTAAGATGTGTTCTCTTGTGTGCTCTCACCTGAATGTTTGGGTTTTGGGAGCCAATGTCGGCATTTGCCAGGTCTGGAAAGTTTTTGAGGTCTAGAACAAAGGGTTTTGTTTCTTCCTCAGGCTCAGGCTGTGGCAGGACACCCGTAGAGCGATGCTGGAGCCACCTGTGTTGATGGGGATGTGAGTCTGCCAAATCACTCTGGACCTGGTTCTGCTGGTGCAGGAGATTATGGTCATTGCCAATGTCTCTCAAAGATGTCTGTGGATGTGTCTGATGAAAAACAAACATAACATGCAACAATAAGTGCTAACTGCACCTGCATGTCAGCATTTCGGAACATCTTTCTTGCATATGATGAGTTGACAATGACTTTTCACTATTTGAGGTATAACTCTCAAGCGAAAAGGATCACATGTTGTTCCCTAATAAAAAGCTTATAATGAGTCGACTTGTACCCAATTATCACTGTGATGGTGCTGATGCTCTTGGCCGGTTCTCATTGGGGGAACTGTAAACCTTTCTCAGAACCAGTGTCTACAGATAAGAGAGCCTATCAATGAAGTAACTGCTTATATATACCTTTCACAAGAACCAGGTGTCCATTAACTAACTGTTATGAAGTGCCATCAAACTCATGCTTTGCTCACGGATGATAGTTAGAGAGGTGATGATTTGGTTTTACAGGTTCATTCTCAGTGAGCAATGTGCGATATTGGGGGTTTTGGACGCCTGTAGGAAGCTGTTATGATCACTTTGTGATTGTGTCTTTGGCCTTAGTGGTGAACCTCACACTATTTGAACACTTGTATGTTGCATTTAATTAATTGTAAAAAAAAAAAATTAATTTACAATTACATTTAGGCCTATTCCATGCTATGCTAAATGCTGCCATGTCTTTTTAGTGGTTGAGCGTTTTAACCAACTGGTTACATATCGGTTCTGACCATGAATGTAATAGTGAATCAGAGGTGTCTAAAGTCTAATTTTTGGATACTCAGGGGTATTTGATCTTCTATGTAAAACTTATTCTCAATGTTATCTGGTCTTTTCTTCCTGGAAGTCTCAACAAGAGGGGCCAGGTGAAAGAGTGGTCGCTGTTACTCAGCGTTTAATTTCCTAAGTGTTCAGAATGGAAACCAAATCTCTCCTTACAGCCTTAGTCTGCCTGGGGCCATCTCTTGTCTTTCTCTGTATTGTTAATTCATTGTAAAATCGTCGGTGGAATGTGGCCTGTGCTGCCAGTGGGCTTTCTCACCATCACGAACATATGGCATGAATTCCAGACCCCGACACAAAGCCGTATGCGCTAGCAAAAGACCATGCAATACACACAGCCTCTATTGAGCTCTATGGTGAGACACATGGACACGATCAGCTCACACACTTTATGTTGGGGCATTGGGAAAGCAGTCGGCAGTGCAGCATAGATTTATGTGACCTCCAATATCAAAGTCCCAGGACCACGCCATTTCCAAACCAGTGAAGAAAAACAATAAACTAAGACCCCCTATTCCCTTTCCCTTTGACGACCCCTGCCCCACATGTAAAAACAAAAGAGACATTTAGTAATACAAAACTGAGTAGCAGGACCTTTCTTGGAGAGGTTAGACATGGCCCCCGTGTGCACACACACAAGATCAAGGAGACCAGAATGCAGGAAATTCCACATTAACACAGAAGAGGGGCTAAAAAAACAATTTAGGAGCTGAACTATGACCCTGTGTGAGAGTGAAACTTGTTTTTTAAACAGTATTATGTAAGGCCTCACTATTGTACTGCTCTACTGTATGGGACCTCTCTCTATTTTGGCCCCCTTTGCATGGTGGCATAATAAAAAAAGGGTGGCGTTGAATATATTGGTCTATAAGCAGGGAAAAAACATGTTGCACTGCTCTTGATGAGTAAGAAACTTAATATTTTTTTAAAGATTTGTATTAGTGGGACAAGATGCAACTCTCACCTGTGGGGTGGTTAAGAGTTAAGACAATTCCTTCAACCAAGATATTCAAGATATCTGCCACATTTACACAATGACCCATGGCAAATGATCACTCAATAATAAACAGATTATTCAAAAAGGCACATGGCGATCATTTTAAATGGACAACCATTTTACCATGTTGTGGTAGAGTAAAAAATTTAGTTCTGAAAACTGAGTGCATATCTTTTTTATTACTTTTTTTATAGTGATAGTAGTGCCACTATCACTATTAGCAGATTAACTGTAATACTGTTTCTTTTTCTGAGGGCATAGTTATATCCCCAGCATGCTGTATATTAAATTGTGTAATTTATCTGGAGATGAACACAGTGCACACATTATTAATGCTTGAAGTCGGCATGTAACGGAAAGTTGCTGTAGTCTTTTCTTCCCTATTGTGACATATATATATATATATATATATATATATCTGAGTGAAACAGCTTCTCGAACTGGAAAATATGTAGGGCGGGACTTGACTTTGGGATTTGCTGTTGGTACATCTTATATGAGTGACTCAGTGACATGTCCCGTCATCAGAGAAGAGATGCAATTGCAAGAGGGAGGGGAAGTTATGTTGATTAAAGATGAAAGATTATGAGGGCACAGGAATTTGAATAAACAATGATTTATTACATTTATATGATAAATACCACAATATTTAATTAAACAAAAAACAGAATTGACCATTTGGTGACTTGAAATTAATATAACTTGCACTGTTTGGGTTTAAAAATGACTTTATGTTTCATGGTGCATAACAGTTTCTTCAACTATAGGCAGTTTTGTCTCTGTGTAACTCTCTTAAAACACACTTTTTACAATCATTAGATAATTTATCTGCTAACAATGTCCAACTGTGGATGTACATGGATCAGAGGACAATTCTGTATTTTTTTTTTCCTGAATCAACATATGTTTGTAAATGAGAAGTTTGTAAATGAGTAGTTGGAATAAAATGGATAGACTTATTTGTCATGCTATGGTTAATTTGGTAATAAGGTTTCATTCGTTAACATTAGTTACTTAACATGAACTAAGAATTAACAATACTTCTACAGCATTTATTAATCTTAGTTAATGTTAGTTGTAATTTTTACCAATACCTTATTAAAATCAAATTTGTGAACATTAGTTAATGCAACGTGAATTAACATGAACAGCTGGCATTAACAAACTAACATTAACAAAGATAAATACTGCAACAAAATATTGCTCATTGTTAGTTCATGTTAGTTAATATACATTAATGTTAACAAATGAGACCTTTTTGTAATAGCTATATGCTTATCAAATACAAACACACACAAATAAAATGTTCACACATTCTGAAAGTACAGCTTGTTTGGAAATGATGCACAAAAACAACATTCTATTCTATAAGTGATATTTACATAGATTTTTCACACACATCACGTCCCATATTTCATTTCAAGTATAGCCTATGCTCTTTACTAACATTATTGTCTCTCTGATAACTAAGGACACGATTCATTCTTTGTTTAGATTATTTTAAACATATTTTCTAATGGATTTTATGTGGAGATTTTGTATATAAGACTGAAATCTAAGTCTTACACAAGGGTAACACAATCAAATGTACATGCAAATTTGAAAAAGGCAAAAATAAATGATAAAGGCACGATTTTTTGTTGCTGTTAAAATCAACCCCTGTGACATTGAAGAGGAATCCTAAAACGAGATGAGTGACTTTAGCTCCACTTGTAGCCTACTCACCTCTCTGGAGCCGCCGTGTCTGGATCTCTGGTGTCTCACAGGGAAGCTGCTCGCTCCTTCTATCCAGACAGCCAGAAGCACAATTAAAAGCACCCAGAAACTTTTACGCACTCTTAGCATTTTGCACAGTTGCGTATCTGTCCACTAAATACCGCTAAAATAAAGTCTTTAACGTGCAATCGTTGCTTAGGAAGCTCTGCGCTTTTCCCTCCTGGAAAAGATCTTCTTCGATGCGCTGTTCGTCATCTTCATCCAAACTTCATCAAAACTCGCACAGGTATGAACACTTGATATATTCAGATAGATAACCCTCGCCTGTTCATTCCTTCAAAAATGCATTAATGTGACTCGAAACGTCTTGTTGCACTGGTGTCTGCCCATATAGACTGCTCGTCTCTCAGTTTAAGTAGCGACTGCAGGTCTCCCCCTCTTCAGTCCGCACCAGTGCATCCTTATTCAACTAGTACAAAACTTTGTCTTCTCTTATTCTACAAGATGTCAGAGAGTCATTGCTGACACATTACTATGGTAAATATCACGTGCCAAAAGAGAAGGGTATGGAGTTGAGCTGTAAAGCTGAGTGCGCACGCAGGAGTGGCACAGTCGCAGGACGGTCCGATGATCTCCAGAGGGGTCAGCAATCTCAGCATGGGAGGAGAATCGTTTCCTCGCATGTGACAGAACCAGTGATGCTCGTGTATCTGCAAGGTGTGTGCGAGTATGAACATTCATTTCCGTTCAGGTGAGAAAGTGTTTGTTTCCCACTCAGAACTGAATTAAAAGGGATAGGCCCTAGTTCACCCAAAAATGAAAATGCTGTCATTTACTCACACTCAAGTTGTTCCAAACAGGTATGAATTTGTTTATTCTGCTGAACACAAACTATTTTGAAGAATGTTGGTAACCAAATAGTTGATGGGCCCCATTGACTTTCATAGCATGGAACAAATACTATGGAAGTCAATGGGGTCCAACAGCTGTTTGGCTATACTCATATTATTTTGTGTTCAGCAGAAGAAAGAAACTCATACAGGGTTGGAACAACTTGAGAGTGGGCAAATGATGACAGAATTCTAATTTTTGGGTGAACTATCCCGTTAAGAATCCCTTTTAACTTCCAATTAATTTCGTTTAATTTAAGTTTGAACTGAGTTTAAATCGTGGTAGCAAACAGGAAGTAGAATGCATAACTTGTAGCCTTTGGCTTTACATTTAAGAAAGTAGAATTTGAATTAAGTGAAATTTAAAGAAATGAAAAAAAAAAAAAAAACTGTTTGCAAGTGCATTCATAATTCTGTTTAAAATTAGTCATGAAAGTAACATTTTATTTCGATGGTCCACTTTAAGAAGGATAAAAAACGTTATTGTCATTGTATGCACACAACGGAATGGGGTTAAAGATGACTAAAACAGTAAATAAAATCTAGAATACCAATATAAACAGTATAGTGCAGCCACAGTATAATGTTATCAAGTGAGGTAGTGCAGAAGTACTTTAAAACAACATCAGTGTGACATGTATGTTCAGAGTAAAACAGTATAAACAGTAGGCTATATTATGACGGTAAACAGTATAAACATTGATGCAGCAGCAGTATTTTTATAAAGTGATATGCAAGAGGCAGTACCTTAGCAATACAGTATTGCACATACGTATGTTCATAAATTGTAAATAATGTTCACTGTCATGTGGCATAATCTGTAAGTAAACAGTACGCATTAGCAGAAAATGTGGGTGATTCGTTACATTGTGTGTTCTTCTCAGATTGATTTAGACCGGCCACCGCTGCTGTGCCTTTGTCCTCTGTGGTCAAGGTAAGGTCCTCTGTGGTCAAGGTAAGGTCCTCTGTGGTCCAGGTAAGGTCCTCTGTGGTCAAGGTAAGGTCCTCTGTGGTCCAGGTAAGGTCCTCTGTGGTCCAGGTAAGGTCCTCTGTGGTCCAGGTAAGGTCCTCTGTGGTCAAGGTGAGGTCCTCTGTGGTCAAGGTGAGGTCCTCTGTGGTCCAGGTAAGGTCCTCTGTGGTCAAGGTGAGGTCCTCTGTGGTCCAGGTAAGGTGCTCTGTGGTCCAGGTAAGGTCCTCTGTGGTCCAGGTAAGGTCCTCTGTGGTCAAGGTAAGGTCCTCTGTGGTCAAGGTGAGGTCCTCTGTGGTCCAGGTAAGGTCCTCTGTGGTCAAGGTAAGGTCCTCTGTGGTCCAGGTAAGGTGCTCTGTGGTCCAGGTAAGGTCCTCTGTGGTCCAGGTAAGGTCCTCTGTGGTCCAGGTAAGGTCCTCTGTGGTCAAGGTAAGGTCCTCTGTGGTCCAGGTAAGGTCCTCTGTCGTCAAGGTGAGGTCCTCTGTGGTCCAGGTAAGGTCCTCTGTGGTCAAGGTAAGGTCCTCTGTGGTCAAGGTGAGGTCCTCTGTGGTCCAGGTAAGGTCCTCTGTGGTCAAGGTAAGGTCCTCTGTGGTCCAGGTAAGGTGCTCTGTGGTCCAGGTAAGGTGCTCTGTGGTCCAGGTAAGGTCCTCTGTGGTCCAGGTAATCTGTGGTCCAGGTAATCTGTGGTCCAGGTAATCTGTGGTCCAGGTAAGGTCCTCTGTGGTCCAGGTAAGGTCCTCTGTGGTCCAGGTAAGGTCCTCTGTGGTCAAGGTAAGGTCCTCTGTGGTCAAGGTAAGGTCCTCTGTGGTCCAGGTAAGGTCCTCTGTGGTCCAGGTAAGGTCCTCTGTGGTCCAGGTAAGGTCCTCTGTGGTCAAGGTAAGGTCCTCTGTGGTCCAGGTAAGGTCCTCTGTGGTCCAGATAAGGTCCTCTGTGGTCCAGGTAAGGTCCTCTGTGGTCCAGGTAAGGTCCTCTGTGGTCCAGGTAAGGTCCTCTGTGGTCAAGGTAAGGTCCTCTGTGGTCCAGGTAAGGTCCTCTGTGGTCAAGGTAAGGTCCTCTGTGGTCCAGGTAAGGTCCTCTGTGGTCCAGGTAAGGTCCTCTGTGGTCCAGGTAAGGTCCTCTGTGGTCAAGGTAAGGTCCTCTGTGGTCCAGGTAAGTGGTCCAGGTAAGGTCCTCTGTGGTCAAGGTAAGGTCCTCTGTGGTCCAGGTAAGGTCCTCTGTGGTCCAGGTAAGGTCCTCTGTGGTCCAGGTAAGGTCCTCTGTGGTCCAGGTAAGGTCCTCTGTGGTCAAGGTAAGGTCCTCTGTGGTCCAGGTAAGGTTCTCTGTGGTCAAGGTAAGGTCCTCTGTGGTCCAGGTAAGGTCCTCTGTGGTCCAGGTAAGGTCCTCTGTGGTCAAGGTAAGGTCCTCTGTGGTCCAGGTAAGGTCCTCTGTGGTCCAGGTAAGGTCCTCTGTGGTCCAGGTAAGGTCCTCTGTGGTCAAGGTAAGGTCCTCTGTGGTCCAGGTAAGGAAACGGATGCTAATTCCCGTCCTGGGACCTGGGATAATGAGCTCCTTGGTCTTTCCAGTGTTCAGAAATTGTTCTTCAAACACCAATATGCCAAATTCTGTGCCTCCTCTATGATATAACCTGTGATCAGCCCCACTACAGTTGTGTCATCCGCAAACTTCACTATGGTATTGGTGTCGAGGGAGTACAGGATGGGACTCAGCGCGTACCCCTGTGGTGTGCCAGTGCTCAGAGTGATATTGGGGGATTAAAAGGGGCCCAGTAGCACTACCTGGGAGCGCACTGTCAGGAAATCTTGAATCGTAATGCAGAACAGTGGGCTCAGGCCTAGCTGGTGGAGTTTTATGGTGAGTTTGCAGGGGATGACAGTATTAAATGCCGAGCTAACGCCTGCGTACAGCATACATACGTGTTGTGTGTCTCTGGATGATTCAGAGCCGTGTGGACAGCCAGGGATATAGCGTCCTCTGTGGACCTGTTCGCTTTAAATGCAATCTGAGTCGAGTGAGGCAGGTGTGTGTCTTTGATGTGCGAGAGTACAAGTCTCTCAGAACACTTCATCGCTACTAGAGTGAGGGCCACTGGTCGATAGTCGTTCAGAGAGGTGAGTGTCTTGTGGAGGAGAGCAGGTGCACTCTTGTGATCTGCAAGAGCTCTGAGTCTTTGCCACACACTCGTAGAGTCAGAACTATTGAAGTGGGCCTCGACACGCTGTCTATAGCTGGCTTTTGCTTTTTAATGCCCTTCTATAGGGTCACCCAATTTAAACGCATCATTGCTGGTTTTTTACCTCTTTGTTCATCCACTGTTTCTGATTAGCATACATCTTCATCATCTTCTCCACTGTTACAGCTGCTGATGTGGCTCTGTACCTTGGGTTGCTACTTCTTCAAACAGCTCACAGTTTGTGTGATCACAACAGTCCTGTCGTTGTGCCGTGACATCTTCTGGCCAGATCTTAACAGTTTCATGGTGGATCTCGACATGTGTCAGGAACAGTGTGATGTGATCAGACTGTCCGAGAGGGTCTATTAGGGAAAGCTCTGTGTGAGTCTTTAATGTTGGTGTACATATTATATATATAAAACACTGCACAGGCGGATCTACGGAAAGTGCTCCACAAATTCTATCAGTACGATTAAAATCTCCTGCTTTTATGCAGAGGCTCTGTTCGGGTGAGCATCCTGACGCTTACTAATGACTGAATATAGCGGTGCTAGCGCCTGCTTAGCATTGGCTTGTGGTGGAATGTAAACGGCTACAATGACGACAACAGAGAACTCCAGCGGTAGATAAAACACCCTGCATTTCAACATGAGATACTCCAGATCTGGTGAGCTGTAGCTCTAGAGTGCAGTGTGGTTGATACATTTACACATTCAACTAACTAGAAGTAACTTTGTCTTTGCAACTAAAAAGTGATTGTCAACTTAGTCATTAGAGTATTAGTAGACTGTCTGCTAAATATCTGCTTACACTTTATTTTGATGCTCCCCCAACAGACATTATACTGACTATAAGAAACTTTCCATGTCAACTTAGTCTACTCTAATGAGTTAGCTGACATATAGTTGCAAAGACACTTATAGTTAGCATTGTCTAAAGTGGATCATCAAAATAAAGTGGAACTGCCATAAATATGTCAAATATGTATTACGTTACATATTTGTGGTTGATTCCTTGTTCTACCAGTTGACAGTAACCATTGACTTCCATAGTAGGAAAAAACAAACAATGGAAGTTAATGGTCACTGTTAATTAACTGCTAATTCTGAGATTTGATATTTACTCTGGATTTCTCTGAAAAAACAAACACACTTTAACTGTTCAAGATATGTTTTTTTATTATCTTCAGAAACAAATAGACAGTCACTTTCAACAAATGCCAGTTTTTTTTTTACACGGACGAGTCTGACAACAATATATTTGATAAAAAAAAAATCCAACTCAAAATGGATATGAAACAAACAAACAGGGGGAGAAAAAAAACTGTGGAATGCCCTTTGGTTTCACAGTCGAATGCAGTTCAGTGGCATTGCTTTC